CGGTACATACTGTTAACTGTGGTTGCTATGAGGTCTTTGTTCTTTAGTGAAAACCTCGTGAGCTATCCTGGAGTTACCAGCTTATCTTCACATTTCTCCTCATACAATGGAGTACCTGCAGGAGTGTCCTGAGAATGTGTTACTTGCTGATGTCTTAATCCCTGAGTACATGCTACAGCCCAGGGAGCCTCAGAGCAGATCCTGGCCAGGAGTCAGGGCTCTGCATTGCAGGCAGTTGGGATGGACAATGTGAGTTTGAATAGTTTTGTAGACTGCTGTCATCTTAAATGCATTAGGGCTGCTTGTTAGACTGAAACAATTGTAATTTCACCAAGGAAAATTCTGCTTTTTAATTCCACTGCTTAATTTCATCAATCACTAAGACTGCTTAGAAATGGCACTTTAGGAATCCTGAATTCACATGCCTAAGGGAACTGGCAGATTATATGATCTAATCTAGTAAAGCAAACCTTGTGTGAAACAACTGACAGAAGTAGGATACATTACCTTCGCTTTTACCTAACTCCAAATTAATATTGGAGTTTGATATTCAGAATTAAGAAAAGGTGGATTGAAGCAGTTTTTTTTTCTAGTTCTTCTCTTTATATTTGGAGTTTACAGTCTGATGGCAGGCATGGCATGCTAACCAAGGAGGCTCAGACAGAAGGATCATTTGAGCCTAGGAGGCGGATGCTACAGTGAGCTATAATTGCATCAAGATTTCAGTGCCATGTCTCAGCTTGTGGATTGAGATGTAGTTTTGCAATAAACCTTGATTTCCTTAACTAGCAAGAGTACTGAGTTTCATTTAGTTTAATTATAGAAAATGCCTTTTAATAAATTTGAGTACTTTAGAGCTGGAAATGAATGTTGGCATAAAAAGTTTTGTCATTTGGGGTAACTGTTCCTGAGGTATTTGTAAAAATCTTAGATTCCATGTCTGTCATGTTGAGTTGTCTGATATTGCGCTAAAACTTCCATTTGTAAAGTTCTTTGCCCATAGTGTCATTAGTAATTAAGAAAGGCAAACTGAACAGATTATAGTATTTTTAAAAAGCTTAAATCATGAATTTTGTATGCCTAATGGGTGGAGGGGACATGTTGCTTTCAGTTGCACACATGTAAAAATATAGTTCAGGCCATCAGTCTTAGATTTCTGCAAACTAAGATAATTTCTTGCCAAACAAATGTTCTAAAAGTTAAAATTTCATTAGGAATGAGTGAATGAAATCATGTATTTGTGTAATCATTTAAAAATGTCCCTTTTAAGAAGTAGTGTTGGGAATACTTTATACCCTATGCAAAAATTCACACAAAATTGATCAAAGACCATAGCATGAGAGCTAAACGTGTACAACTCTTAGAAGAAAGCGTGAAAAAAAAGCTTTATGACATTGGATTTGGCAGTAATTTCTTGGATATGACACCAGTAACACAGGTAACAAGAGAAAAAATAGATAAATTGGACTTCACCAAAATTAAAAATTTTATGCATCAGACACTATCAACAGAGTGAAAAGGCAACCCATGGGATGGGAGAAAATAATTTGCAAATCTATATCTGATAAAAGATTAATATCCAGAATATATAAAGAACTCCTATAACTCAACAAATAAAACAACTCGACGCAAATTAAAAATAGGCAAAGGACTTTAAATAGACATTTCTCCAAAGACAATATGTGGTTGGCCAATAAGCATGTGAAAACTTGCCTTTGTCACTAGTCATTAGGGAAGAGACACTCAGCATCTCTGGTCACAATGAAATTGTTACCAAAACACCAGGGGTTCAGTCTAGGTCCTCTTGCTCAGCACAGAAAGCCAATCACTGTCACGACAAGTATTGCCAAGAAAGAAGGCTTTAATTGGGCTGCTGCTGCGGAGATGGAAACTCAGCGTCAAATTCATCTCCCTGACCTACTAAAACTAGAGGTTTATATAGCAGGGAAGAAATGTAACTGTATAAGAAATCAACAACTAGGGAGGGGCAAGCAGTTATCCGGCGTGATCAAAGTCCTTTGATACTTTTTTTGGAAGGCCTGAAGGTTCTTTTCTGAGAAAGAAACTCAAAACAGATAAAGGTTTCAAGCTTAACAGCAGAAGGGTCAATTTCTGTGTTTATGCAAAAGAACTGTCTATGGGACTATTGGGCAGGTGTCAAAATGCTACTGCACAGCCATTAAGATGGCTACTATCAAAAAAACAAAAAATATTTAAGTGTTGGTGAGGGTGGAGAGAAATTGGAATTTTTGTTTTCTGTTGGTAGGAATGTAAAATGGCTTCGTGACTATGGAAAACATTATGGTGATTTCTCAAAAGATTAAAATTACTGTATGATCCAGCAGTCCTGTTCTGTGTATATTGAAAGCAGAATTGAAAGCATAGTCTTTTGTACATCCATGTTCATAGCAGCATTATTCACAATAGCTAAAAAGTAGAGCAACCCACATATCCTTCCATGGATGAATGGGTAAGCAAAATGTGGTATATATGTACAATGGAATGTTATTCAGCCTTAAAAAGGAATGGGTATCTGACACATGCCACAACAGAGGTGAATCTTGAGGACATTATGCTAAGTGAAACAGGTGAATCACAAAAAGGCAATACTGAATGATTCCATTTATATGAGGCACTAAAGTAGATGACTTGTGATGTCATCCAAAAAGGTCAAGTCCTAGATGCAGTGTTAGTGGGTGAGCCACCAAGGGTTTTCCACTGATTCCTGTGATTCATTGTTTTCCGTGGGTCAGAAAGTTAGCTCTCTTGTGCACCATACCTGTAGCCTCCACAGCGGGCCTGCCAGCAGCCTATTGTGTTGACATCCAACTTATGGAACAAAGTATCCTGCTGTGTGCCCCTCAGCTTAAGGGATTGAGCCTATTTCATAGTATTAGTTACCACCTACATGACTGTCACTTTGTTAAGTTTCTGCAAAAATCCTCATACCTGCAGAGTTATAATATAAATGGAACAATGTGATGAATGAATGTGAACTTCAGGGACTTGCAAAGTGTTGTTTCTGTTGAATAAAAAGTGCAACATTAACAACACGGGTTACATCAGTTAATTTTGACCAACCTACATTAAACTTTTCCCAGAACACAAAAAAGAACAATTTCCTAATGTGCTTATCATGAATAATATATTCGTTAAGTTCTTCAGTCTCATCAAAATTCTCATCAACTCTGTGAGTAAATATAGTTATCTGAGTTATATCTGTGTTCTAATCAGCTGCCGTTGGAAGCACTATAAATAGGTTGTCTTTTCCATGCAGCGTATCCCATAAGTTCTCAGACCTATCTTTACTGCACTGAGCAACATCACTGTCAACAGTTATATTTAAATTTGTCAATGCTTCATTGTCTTCAGACACATATTTTCCACCATATCGAGTCAACACTTGCATAAACTTGCAATCTCTAACTGCTTGGGCTGCTTAAACACGTAATAACTGCATTTTGCAGTAGCATTATCATTGTATTTGTTTGGAAACAATCTGCATTGAAAATATTAGTCCTTTTACAGTTCATTCAGGGTTTCTTTTTCTAAATATTATCTGTTTTCTAAATATTAGTTATGGTTCTTTCATGCGGTTTGCTTAAATAAGGCATCTTAAGCTCTGTTCTTCCAATTGACCTGGAGTAAAAATGTTAAACATGTGCCTTTCGTGGTCTTTAATTTTTTCCACTTTTCATAGAGATGTGAACAAAAAATGATTTTCCTTTCCTTTAAAGAAAAGAACTGGTGTAATGCTTTATGGGGTATTGCAGTAACGGAGAGTGGTGGAGACTGGCACATGAAAGAACATTTTGTCTAAAAGGCACAGCTGCAGTTGATACAGGTGGAAATTGGTATTTAAGATACAGTCCCCCATCTAGTTCTAAATGTTGGTAGCTAATGCAGAAAGAAAAAGTTTTATATTTTGTGGGCCAAGTGAAACCCAGTGAGCTTGTGTAAGATGGTGTCAGTTTGCTTTTCCTGCTCTGAAAGGGGGCAGTCAGCGGCTCCTCTGCCTCCTGGCACAGACGTTGTAAGGGTGAGGTTTAGGCGAACACTGATGTTGCAGCTGTTTTTGTATTCTTCTTGGTAGACATTGAGGCTAGACCTGTGTTACCTACTTTTGCCTAATTTTGTATTTGATGAGATCCCATCCTCATCACTGGAAGATACTGGAGTGAATATGTAGACGGATCTAGTGAGTTCGACCATCTTCAACAAAATAGGCATCTTTTGCTGCAGAACTATTCTGACCCTAAGTTTACCCTCAATCATGCTGATATACCCACTGTGTTCCCTTGGCGTTGAAGAGTTAATCAACTCCCGAAGTCTCTAAAGTAGTAAGTGGTAATGTCAAAACCAAATGCATGGCTCTTACTCCACACAGAGTAGATTTTCCTCATCAGCTGGAAGAGAGGGGTGTGTTTGTGGGAGAGAGCATATCCAGGAAAGTAGATGACTGAGAAATAACTACCACCAGGGCAAAGCCTATTTTCATGAATAATTATCTGGTTTTATTTTTAAATTAAAATGTGTTTACAATTTTTACCATAAAGGATTCTTTAAAAGAATATGAGTTGAATGTCTCAGAATTTAAGTTTTATTTAAGCTGAAAGAAGAATGCCAAGCTTGATGAAACTCTGCCTTTCTGGTCAGTGGACTTACTGGCTGGTACTGCCTGTCCACTGCTGTTCACCTTATGGTTACTGACACGGTGATGACCGTGGATTGGACTCGGTATGCCAAAGAGGTTGCAGATTATACGCAGTGCCAAAATCACTTAATAAGGATGTAAGGCTCTCGAGCCCTTTTTTGGTGTTATTAGTTTTATAAGTGAATTAAGAAATTAGATTCTGTTCTGAAGTAGTTTTCCAGCTACTCATTTTAACATGTAAATTTCTGGCCCTGATCTATTTTTATAAATGAAGCTATGAAACACTGAAGTGTTCGAACTAAAAGATAATCAAATCATTGCCTTTTCTCTCTCCTTCACCCTTCAGGGGGGACACAGCGATTGCCACGTGCCATTGGAATGTCCCTGGCCAAGGAGCTCATATTCTCTGCGCGAGTCCTCGATGGCCAGGAAGCCAAAGCAGTGGGCTTAATCAGCCATGTTCTGGAACAGAACCAGGAGGGAGACGCTGCCTACAGAAAGGCCCTGGACCTGGCGAGAGAGTTTTTACCTCAGGTATTTCTCGTTAGAGTTTATTTTTTCTTCTTTTAGGAAACTTTATAACGCTTTGACTAAAACAGCAGTCATCTTGCATGCCGAAGAAGCCCTGGCTTGCATCCAAGTAAAGGGATGCATAGGCTCTGTGAAACTGGAACTGTTACACGAGCTAAACGTTACAATCCTGTGGAATTCAGGTGAGGCTTTGAAGATGCTCCACGGGTCTTATCCTAGCCACACTTTGATAAAATAGCCCTTGAACAACACTTGTCACGTGCACACAACTTCCTAGCAAGGTGTTTTAATTTGCTCACCAGCTGAGCGCTCTAAGGGAACGCGTAGCCACGGAGAGAAAGAGTGATAAGGCTGGCTGTCACACTGGGCCACCCCAAATCAAAATACCTTGAAATATGCTGTTTTCTAGTAAGGGGCTGTAGTCTGTTGTGCCAGAGTGGGCTTTTGTTGCAGCGGCTTCTCTTGAAAAGTGAAAAGCCTGCTTGAAAAGCAGCAGTTGTTGTCTTTCTGCATGTGTGCTCATGGTGGTATAGGCATTGTTTTAACTCCTTTGTGCTTCCTCACAAGTATACTTTCAAAATCTAGAACACGTCTTGTATGGCTGACTCATGAGTGTTATCAGTGGCCATGCACTGACAGTCCTGTTTTAAGTGATTCTTTTTGTCACTTGTTCAAATAGTTTTCAAATATGCCTTTGGTCTGAAATCACAAGATTAAAGGGCTTTAAATTAAGTGAAAGAGTCTTATTTTGCTTTGTAAACAGTAGTGACGTTTCTTTATTTCTAGTGAACTGTGAAGTTTTATAACCCCTTAACCATTTCTAGAGTCAAAATAATTTTCTCTCTGACTCAGGATTGCTTAACTCAAATAGGATTCGTAACGTTTTTGTGGGCTGTGGATCTTTTTGGGAATGCTATGAGATCTATCTTTCAAAAAATGCTTGAATGCTTACATTTGTTCAGAGTTTTGCATTCAATTTCAGAAAGTGTTCTTGGCATTCAGCACAGGAGCCTTTGCTGACAAACCAGGCCCCACTCTGCTGGTATGCACCTGCTGAATCGGTTTTTAAAACCACGCTCCTGGTGTTGATGCTTCTGGTCCTTCTTAATTAACTTAGGAGCTGTTAGCTCTTTAAGAGAAGGACCGTTATATAATTTATTCCCATAAAAGGTAATGGAGACCTATACACTCAGTAGATGCTCAATAAGTATTTGTTGGATTGATGGAGAGAAAGCAAATAAAAAAATATTTTTGCCTTAAAAGGAAAAGACTCACTACAAACATATTCTCGCCAAATATTAGAGAAATCTCTACCTAAAGAGAGATTAATGGTACAAGTATCAGGAGAGTAGTAATTTGACTGAATATTGGTGTTATAATTTACATTGGCTTAAAACTTTATGACCAAGACATCTCAGTTGAAAGACAGGGGCGTGTTTAAGAAAGGTTATGGCAGAATTCCAGTTCTGATGATCTGCAGCACCCGCTCCTGGCCTCTTGACACAGATGTTCAGCCCTCTGCTTCAGAACTCCCTATAGGCAGCTTATTATCCCTCAGGGCCTGACTTGCTCTGTCTCCCATGATGCTCCTGTGAGCACCATGCAGCAAATGCCACCACTGTTCACACACTGCCCTGCCCAAGAACGTGGGCACTGTTGTCCCTTCCCTCCACCCCCGCCCCTCCTTTCACTACCAGCATGTCGAGCTGCATCCCATCGTGTGGTCACCCAGCTGTCATCACAGTCCCTGTGTGTGTGCCTGTCTCACCTTTCATCTGAAGGACACTCCTCTGAGAACGTTGATTGTTAAAATTAATTTTACTCCAGGTCAAACAAGCGTATAAGCAGATGTTGAGTTACTTCAGAAAATATGTGACAGGAAAATTATATGTGCAAGTTACCAAATGAAGTTTGAGTGGAATCATCTTTCTTTTTATGTTTGTTACTTTGTTGCCAAATGATTAGTCTTCCAAGTAACTGAAAGCCTCTGTAAAATTGGCATTTCTAGGTGATATCTGTATTATATATTACTTCCATTTATCTGAGAAGAAAGGCTTGTAAAGAAGAAAAGGCATTGGTTTTATGTTTTAAAGGGGAAACAAATTAAATCAAATACTATCTCTAATAGCATTTTGAATTTTCCTGTTTTTCTCATGGTTTTCTAAGTCTTACTTCCCAAAGTGTGGTGTGTGGACCAGCAGTGGGTATCTCCTGGCAGCTTGTTAGACTTGCAGAATCTCAGGCCCATCTCAGAGCCACTGAGTCCACATCTGCATTTTAACAACAGGGATAGGGATTTGTGTGCGTCTAGGATTTGACAGCCACCTTTTCTTCGTCAGTAGGCGATGAAAATTGAAAACTTAGAGGAGCACACAGTTTAATAAAATGGACTGATGATCATGAAAAAATGATGTTGGTGTCTGCCACACATGCACATCACAATGGGAAGAATTATCAATAAGATACTTGTCTAACAACTATAGCCTTGGAAATTGTGGCCTTTGAAAAAGATCTGTCAACATGATGTGGAAGAAAATTTAGATAGGTCAAATTTAATAATAGAAACTCCTTGATAGGAAAACATGTCTTTTCATGCATTCATCCATGTCACATCCAAGAGTCCTTTGCTGTGTCTGTTGTTTAGGGCCTACCTTGTGATGAATTCACATTCATCACCCATAAATGGTATTTTAGGACTTTAAAATGTGATCAAGTAACGAAATTCCTTCTGAGGGATTCTGGTTTTTCTGTAGGCTAGCTTGGTAAGAGTTTGGCTTCTGCAAGACAGAGGTAACATTTTCCTTCTCAAAGCAGATACCCAGTTCATTCCCCTGTGACTCTTCTACATCCTGAAAGACTTATGTAGACTTCAAATTTATTTGTACTGTGGGAACACTGCCTAGAGGACACTGTTGATTAATCTACCATCATTGCTGTTAGCTATCAAGCTAATAGAGGAAAGATAGAGAGCTAGTGTCTGAAACAGATGATATCAGAGCCCTACCTTAATCAATAGCAGCAGCCTCATCCCCAGCCCGAGCTTCTGTCAAAACCTCTTATGTGTTGAGGCAAAAGACTTTGTCTCCTTTTCCTTCCTCTACTTAACTTCTAGGATGTGTTGCAGAAGAAGAGCAAGCTCACAGCTGGACTACCTGCTGACCTTTAAGGATCTGGAGTTTGCAGCATAACGGAACACTGTGGAATCTAAATAATATGCTGATGGCAATTTTCCATCTAGTGTCTGACAGCCATTGTTGGCTGTGCCATGGATCCAGTGGTGGGAATTTCTGAGTCTTACTGAGATATACAACATAATTTGCATAAACAATAAAGTCTGCTTCTTTAATTTGATTTTTAGGGACCTGTTGCAGTGAGAGTGGCAAAATTAGCAATTAATCAAGGGATGGAGGTAGGTTCCTTAATGCTTGAGTTTGTTTTTGGAATGGAGAGTGGAGATTTAAATTAAATGAATCATGTTTAGACTTCTACATTTTTTTTTAAAGTTCTAAAATATGGCTGTTTAAATGCTACTATTACTGAAAGCTACTGAATTTCCTTGCAGCTACATCATTGATTTCATTCTTATAGTTATTGCTAATTCAATATCATAATCACAGAATTCAGTAATTTTACCAGTACCCTGAAGCTTATGATATGCTCATTGTTTTTGCCATCGAGTTAACAGATTTATTGTCTAGCAGTTCATAGAAAACCAAAAGAACAGGGCATTCCGTGTATTTTTACCATCGGTATTATATTATATAAAACATGCCAAGGAGAACTCCTAGCCCTCTCCACCTTTAGCTTCAATGTGCTCTCTGCAGGGACGCACACATAATGCAAGGCAAATCCATTGTGTGTCCTCGGGGTACCCCAGGGAGTTGACTGCAAAAGAGTAGAGGCCCCAGGCCAGGGAGGAGGGGATGGTGCACACACCCATTTATTTGATTTTTCATGGTAGTTGTTATATTTTGGTTAAATTGTGGGTATTTTAAAGAGAAGTGCTTCCTTCTTGTAGAGTAAGGAACCACTGGGTCTTCCTGGGCTGTGTAGCAGTAAAAAGAGATTGACTTTGTTAGCAGTAAATACGGTTTCATAAATTTGTAAAAGTATTTGATTGGCTTATTTAAATATTAACATAATGGTAACAACACTAATAACAAATACCTTATATGGCCCTTATTGCACGTGTGTGTGTATGTGTGTGTGTGTGTGTGTGTGAGGTGCTATATAAAGGCCTCACCTAGATTAACTCATTTAATCTTCACAGTACCCCTATTTGGTGAGCATTACAATTAGCCCCTTGTTCAGACATGCTTCTTTGAAGCACAGAGATGTTAAATAACTTCCCCAAGGTAACTCAACTTCCAGGTGGTGGAGTCAGCATGAACCAGGAAGCCTAGTTCTGTGTCTCTCATGTTGGTCACACTCGGATCTGCTGTACTGTATCAAAGGATTCTGTGCTTTGGGGATAGGGTTATTCAGTTTGAATTTATATTGAATACACCATATTTTACAAAGTTACTTCTGCTAAAATGGATTATGTTTTTATTCTCAGGTCGATTTAGTAACAGGGTTAGCCATAGAAGAAGCTTGTTATGCTCAGGTATGTAATACAATCACAAATTCAATGAGAATGACCCTTACAAATTATATTTACCTTCTGTATAATTCAAATGAATTTCACTGAGCAGGATTACTCTTGTGCCCATTCCAAAATCATACAAATGGGTTGAAATTAGTTGTTTCTGCTGTTTGTTACTAGCTCTTCTGATAGATTCTGTTCTGCAGGCATGTCTCTTGCCTGTATAATCTGGAAAACTCTTAGAGTAACTGAGTCAGTCCTGTGTGTGCAGTAGCTGTCTCTTAGGCTTATGCTTGCTTTTGCGGGTATGGACCTGGCCCCCCACTCCAGTGTAGAGAGGTTGAGGAGAGTGGTGATGAGCGTGTGCCTGCCATGCAACCTGGGAGGTGATTCTCCTTGGCTTTTCCTGAAGTTCTGAGCCTTCTGTCCTGCCCACTGAAGGTTCACTAATGAAATTATAGTTTTATTTTTTACTCAGCCCTTTTCATCTGTAAGTTTTGCGTTTGTGGATTCAACCAAGTGTAAATTAAAAATATTCAGGAAAAAAAAAAAGGATGGTTGCATCTATACTTAGCATGTACTGACTTTTTTCCTTATCATTATTCCCTAAACAATACAGTGTAACAGCTGTGTACCTGGCATTTACATTATACTAGGTATTGTAAATAATCGAGAGATGACGTGAAGTATACAGGAGGATATGCATAGGTAATATGATAGTATGCCGTTTTATTAATATATAAGGCCCTTGAGGATCTACCGATTTTGGTATCTGCAGGAGGTCCTGTAACCAATCCCCTGCAGATACTGAGGGAGGACTGTATATAAATTAGTAGGTCTTCCTGGAGAGGAAAAAAATGTTTTCCCTTCTTTGTCTTTCTCTGAAAGATAGAACTTTGTTTTAGGGCATCTGAAATAGCAAAAAAAGTTTTGTTCTGCCTTTCCTGAGAGTTGGAAACTGCATGAGCACTCGTTTAAAGGAGCAGTATCTAGAGTGTGACTCTGAGCCCATCCTGTATATGTCAGCCACCACCTGTCATTGATAAGTACGTGCATGAGGAAAGTGAATTACAAACATCTTAGAAATGGACAGCCTCAGAGCCCAAAGAAAAATTTTAAAAGCACATTTGGCCATAAATTACAACTTACTAAATGCAAAAACCAGAAATCATACAGGGTATTCTGCAGACCACAATAGAATTAAACTGGAAATCAATAAAAGAAAGGTAGCTGAAAAAGCCCAAAATATTGAGCAATTAAGCAACACCCTTCTAAATAATGTTATATGTCAAAGATGTATTGAGGAATTATAAAATATTTTGAATTAAAGTGAGAATACAGCTTCTCAAAGTTTGTGGGACATATTGAAAGCTGTGTGATAGAAATAGCATTGGATATATATATATTAGAAAAGAGATAAATCAATGATAACTTTCTACCTTATTAGGAAACTGCAAAAAGAAGAGCAAAATGGGGTAGAGGACCACTTGAAATAAGAATTATGAGTTTGGTTACATAATTAGAATTGTTCAAGTGACTGATAGATTTCAAAATTTAGGAATGTGGTTCTAGGTAGTTTTCTCAGATAGTGCTTGATAAACTTTTACAGTTGTTTGAACATTTTTTATATATTTAATGTTTTGTTTTTCTTAGACCATTCCAACGAAAGACAGACTTGAAGGTCTTCTTGCTTTTAAAGAGAAAAGGCCCCCTCGCTATAAAGGAGAATAGAAGGAACAGAAATTCTTAAGATGCCAATGTAATAAATGTACTTCTGGAAGTGTCTTTCAGATCCACTATATGCCTGAGCACGTGGAATCTCAATGACCAAAGTGAAGAGCAAATTATTCATATAGTGTAATTAGCATCTGGAATGGACCCATCTGTGTACTTCATTCAAATATGTAAATGTCATATGCATTCAGATTTATAAAGCTAGTAGTGTATATTGTCAGAAAACAGGCAAAGTTAGATATACATTTTTAAATATTTCCTGCATAAGAGGCTTTCTGTTCCTAATTTTTTAATGTGAATAATTTATATATTGCACACTAGGAAATAATATTGATTATATGTCTACTGTGCTGCATTAAGAAAATAAAATTATTTCTATATACCAAAAATGTGAAGTTATACCAAATAAAGTTTCTAAGTGATTGATGCATATGAACAGATACATATACATACATCTAAACCTGAAAAATGAATTGATATTCTGAGTGAAAACTACCTAATATAAATAAAACTAGTGAAAAGAAAATGTGGGAATTTTTCTCTCATCCCATTCTTTTTGAATCGATTATATTTTTGCATGCTGGATTTTAAAAGAAACAACCCTTCCTCACTGCTTCTGTCAGGCAACCTCTTCACATAGTCAGTCCTGTCATTTAGTATCAAAGGTGAAGAAATCCAAAGACTGGAGCGAAAGAACTGAAACGGACGGGAGTCCTGGTGCAGTGGGACTTCCAGGACCTCCTCCCAGCAAGTGGCCTGGCTGCCTGGCCTAGGAAAGGCCATGTTTGTACACAAGAGAGGGAAGAAAATGGGCAGCCAGGATTGGAGCATGGAAATGACCGGGTCGTGGATTAAAGTGGAGACTATTCTCTGCTTCCTTACCTTCAGCTGTTTGCATCCAATTTCTGTTAGGGAAAGAGGTAAGCATAAGAACCTTTTTTTCCTCTCTAACAAACACATCAGGCCTTCCTACCCAGGCCAGGCCAAGAAGCTATAAAGGGAGGGTCTCAGGGGTGCATGGCTAAGTAGCCACACCTGGGGATCAGGCATAGGTAGGAGGTGTGTGGGACATCGGAACGGTAGAATTCACTGTGGAAAAAGGAAGGAGAACATTCTGATGTCCTTAAATAATTTGAGATACTGCTACTTCATTCATTTTATTAATCCACACTGCCTTCCTGGGAGTGCCCCTTGCCCTCTGAACTCTGCAGCAAGCTTCACTGTGTTGCAGCCCGCTGTGTCCCTAAGGTGTCCTTTCACATTTCCGTATACCAGATGAACACCTATTGCACTGTGGATTTTCATCCTCATTGTGGTGACTTCATTGCTGTTTGAAAGCATGTAGACTTTTTATTTTTTAAGTCCTGAAACGTATTTTTTAACTTGGGAATTTAAAAACCTTAATAATAAAATTCCTATAAGAGACAAATATAGACTGGCCATCTGCTGATGTCTGTCCTGACAAAGGTAGGCAGTGTCTTCACTAATGATTGGATGCTAAGGTGAGCACTGTTTTTCCTTATCACCTTAGGTGCTGAAGCTCTGCAGATTTTTTCTTTTTTTGAGACGGAGTTTTGCCTAGGCTGGAGTGCAGTGGCGCAGTCTCGGCTCACCGCAATCTCCACCTCCCAGGTTCAAGCGATTCACCTGCCTCAGCCTTCCAGGTAGCTGGGATTACAGGGGCATGCCCACCATGCTCAGCTAATTTTTGTATTTTTAGTAGAGATGAGGTTTCACCACGTTGACCAGGCTGGTCTCGAATTTCCGACTTCAGGTGATCCACCCACCTTGGCCTCCCAAAGTGTTGGAATTACAGGCGTGAGCCACCGTGCCTGTCCAGCTCTGCAGATTTATAATGACTGCTCACTGATCATCATAGAGGGAGCTTATTAAAATTCACATAATGGCTCTCTCTGGTGGTTGTATCGGGGGGGGCATGCATACTTGTTTACTGATATACTTGCTGAGCTATTCATTTTGTGCATGGTAATTTGCACCTAAAATGCTGCTGCTGTTTTCACAGACCTTTAAAGTTTTCAGAGTTTATACTCTGCGTGACATGCTAAATACCACTTTCTGTTTAACTGAGCAGGAAATAATTATTAGGAAAAAATTATTAAGAGTGTGCTGTACGATTCATTTCTCTGTACTTGGATTCATAGTCTACTGTCACTGATCGAACACCGTCTAAGTTCCTAACAATTTCTGAAGAAGTCACTGGAATATATCTGAAAGCAAAGTCCTGTAGTGACTTAAGATATTGCAGACTTCATGTATTATAGCAGAGAAAAGTGTCCAATTCTCTGAATAAATGTTTGCCTTTCTCTTGATTTTTCCTTTCAGTATTGGTCTTCTGCTAAGTAGTCCTGATCCTCCCCCAGGTCAAGCTCAGGGGACTCTGGGCGGGGCCGCGCTGGCTGGGGAGGGCCCCGTGCATGGGCTGTTCCTCTCTCCAGTACACCGCCTGTTGGTGCACACAGCTGGAAATGCAACAGACATATCCATGTATTCACACTAGGTTAGAGAAGGCTCTCAGAAAAGGAGGATGAGTGATCGAGCAGAGAATTCAGAGGATGAAAACAAAATAAAGAAAAAATTTCCGTTATCTCAGAGCACGAGGCCTACTGGTTTTGCAGTAAGTTAGTGCTGGTTAATTTCTAACTTGTCTGTGAAAGGAAAGGAAAGGAAAACAGATCTCAAATTCCTGAAGTTCTGAGGCAAGAGAAAACGTTCAGTAATGGCCAAAATAAGAGATTTTCTGAGCTTGATTTTTGTAACTTAAGGGATCTTTTCAGGTTTGGTTTGTTCTCAGTAATAATGGATCTAGTTTTCTTGTCAATCAAGTCATCTTTTTGTTGTTGTTATAGCAATCGAAAATTGGTTTGTCATCAAGTGCTACTTTTCTGGTAGCACTTTTCTAAGTGCTTTGTGAATGGGCCAAAGTAATAGAGTGTCGATTCGTGGATCAGCACTTAGAAAAAGTGCATACTTGCACATGATGGGTCACCGGCCAGCCATTGGCCCTTTTCCTCACTTGACCTGAACTTCTACCTCTGGTAATATGCCCCACATTTGCTCTTATTTGGGCTCTCAAAGATCCTGGCACACAGATATTCAGAAATAGTATATCATGCCATTATTTGTCTATTGATCTAGTAAAATATTAACTAATACATATGTCAGTATGTATTGAACTTTATCAGAATAGCAATAGAAGTTATTTTCTCATAGTATATTAATAACTGTGCACATGTTTCACAAAAAAACATTTTAAAGTTAGTAGTTAATATTCTGGTAACACATCAGCTGGAAATATTGAAGATGGAAAAAAAATATTCTGGTAACACAATGTAAGAACTACTTTTCTACGCATGTGAAGCAGGATACAGATTGTGATTTGGGGTATTTTGGGAGGCGGAAGGAGGTCAGATCCTCTGTTCAAATATATTGGTGTCTCAGGCTCCAAAAAATACCTCTGTTTCAAATGCTGGCCCTTGAATTTTCACAGTCTTCTTTGGGACCTCCAAAAATTCAGCCACTCCTTAGAGGGATAGCACCTAATAAGCAACTTGGTGTGCACTGTTTGTTTTCCAAAATAATTCTCAGGGCAGCATGAGCAAACTGGAGACCTGGTGGGGAAAATAAAGGATGTCAAGGACAGACCAAGACATGTACCCTGCGTGGCTCGGGAGCAGCCCTGGAGATGCGCCAGTGTGGCAAGACGTGGAGACAGCCCCTCCTCCAGGAGCTGACAGTTCCCTAGGGCCCCAAAGTGAGCTCCTAGGAACAAACATGTAAGTTCCTTTTTAAAGACCTGATATAGAAACACACTACTGTGTGGTGTTTTGATAAAAGGAAAAACATTTTGACAAGATCACTGAAAATAACCTCTAAAATAAGTGAATAAGAGCTGGTATTATGGTAATAATGAGTAACATTTACGAAGCCATCAATACCTACCAGGTGCTTTACAGACACTACATCCCTGAAAAAATAGGCACTTTGGTTATTCCTGTGGCACAGAGGAAGAGACTCATAAACCATAGAGGGATCACTTAGCCACCGCCCTATGGCAGGTGCATGTCGGAGTTAGGAATTACACCCAGGGCTACTGGCCCTTTTGTCACTGTTGAGCTTGAAAGCAGCCAAACACCATAAGGCTGCTGATAGGTGTGTTTTTGTCAACCTAGAGGGAATGGTGTCCTTTGCTCTGATTTGGTCTACAATTTTCTCATGACTTGGAAAGATACCAAAAGTGTGCTTATCACCTGATCTGATGGCACAGGCAAGTGATGTAACAATTAGAGCTAATGCACTCAGCACCTCGTCTACCAGGGACTTTCTGTGCATTTTCACACCTAAAAGCAAAACCTCATGAAGTGGGTTTGCTAATTTATTGTTTAAGAAACTGAGGAAGGAGGATTCGTGCTGACCATTGTGTGTTCTGGGCCCCAATGTTTAATGGCTACATCATCAAGGGCACGGAGCCGGTGTTGGTAGACGTGAATGATGCGTGGATCTGTCAGGACGCTAATGATCGGTGTATGACCTCACAGCTCAGTTCCCCCTCAAATCAGCTACTGGAGTATAAGTGTGAGGACTCACGGTTTGATAGCAATGCTTGTCAAAAAGGGGGCAAGATATGCTCCCTGTGGGTCAAGAGTGTCCCAGCCATCTTTAGAGAAGGGTGACAGGTGTGGCGCTCTATTTGGCTCTGGTCAGACTCACCTATAGGGTTGTATTCAGTACTCAGCATTGCAACTTCCGGTGGTCATAGATTGACTCTGTAGTTTCCTGTGAAGCACGTGGGAGCCCTTTGACCAACTTTCAGCTCCACTGAAGCCAGCAATGAGACCATGAACAAAGCACCTCATCCCCCTGAGCCCATTTCCTCATTTGTAAAAGAATCCAGTAGTTGTTCCTGATGGTTACGCAGACCCAGTCACATTGGATGTGATCTGTATAAAAGTGCTTTGTGTGGTGGTCGTGTTTTATTTGTTTCATATTTCAGAGGAGATGAATTGGGATGGGAGGTGGGTCTCACAACCATGGCTGGTTTGGGGGCGTGTACAAGAACCTGGGCTGTTCACTCAGGAAAAAGAAGTCTAGGGAAACATGGTAGCTGGCTCCAGTAGAACTGCAGTTTGAAACAGGTCTTCAGATGCTTCCCGGGCAAGAGGAAGCCATGCAGGGCTCCCCACCTCCCCACTTCTGCTCATTGCTCTGCGCTTGTCCAGAGACAAGGGATGTGGCCTAAAGTGTATGTGAGGAAGCTACTTATACCCTCCTAGGTCCAAAAGCTGCCCCCCTGCCTCTGGAGTGTTAGAGCAGAAAGTGGGCAGGCATAGGCAGTGCCGTGGCTGTGGGGAGTTAAGAGGCACCAGAGGACAGCTCTTCCAACTTAGCCTTTGTGAAGTGAGAGCCGACTGCAGGCCTCTAACACTGGCGCCGACTTGGCAGATGAGAAAGATGGTTCTCTTGACAAATATTGGTCGCTAGTGAGCAGGGCCTTGAGAGACAGAGAAAACAGGCATCTGCCTAAG